GGCCCTTTCTGTCTCTTGGGCTAATACTTCCCTTGTGTCTTTGGTGTTCTTCATTCTCCTTTATTCCAGGTGGTTGGGACCAACTGATGCATCTTAGATGGCCGCTTGTAAGCTTTTAAGATCCCAGACATGAATGGCATGAGAATTTCTAAGAATATTGATCTAATATTTCTATGATGCATGCTGTAAGTACATATTTATTATTTCTTTACAGAAGAAATTGTCAATCAAGTTAGGTAACATTGGTCACCTCATTTTTACCCTTTAAATACTGAATATGAGTTTAAAGATCTCAAGTCTTCCATGTGCTCCTTTTGTTGCTAATTTCAAAGGGATATTTGAGATTCTGCTTGTAATTTCTAGATTATTAATAAAACTGAGATTTTCTTCTAAATGCTAATTTATAGACTTGATTTCATAGTTAAGTTATACCAGATGGCTCTTAAAGATATACAATTATAACTTCCTTTTAGCAACAAAACGTTTGGTTTTCAACACCTTCAAGAATTATTGCAATAAATCCAAATTAGTATTATTCCAGTTCCTCATTGTAATATGGGAGTGAATCAATAAATTACATTAGCTGAAATCAGCTTAGATTGTTAGTAATTTAGTGATTTTTTTTCCCCAGTGGATACCTAGTGAACACCCACTATGCACAGATTTAGACTGGTTGTTGAAGATTCAAAAATAAAAGTCTCTGCTCCAAAGAGCTCACAGATTAATTAGTAAGAATCAACTCATTTTGAAATAATTGGTTATAACACAGAGGAAAATTTAAAGACAATCTGTTTCCCTTATTTCCTTGTTTTCTCCAGTTAAATCCAAGTAAAAGTATATTTCCTCCTTTTGTAAATTATATCATTAAACAAATTATTAATTAACGTTGAGAAATATATAGAATACTTCCTCAAAGAATAGGAATAGTATGATAGCTGAGAATGGTGTGAGCATCTATGAATGACGCTTGCATTATTTTTAAAATCAGCAGGTATCGGCAAAAGACATACTAGTACAGTATTTTCAAAAATAAGCTTTTACCTCAAGAACTATGGAGCACCGAAAAGAAGTGGTGTGCGGTACACAGACTAAACCAGTAAGCTTAGCCAAGAGCTTCAGGTTTCCTTGTAGAATGTTTCCAGCAAGAAGGTCGCGGGGATCCTAAAAGCTACCTAGGTGGTAGGCAGCATCTCCTATTTAAAGGTTTCATTTCTGCCTGGCCTACCGGTGAAACTCATTGGCCCGCGAGTACTTCCTTTCATCTGCAAGCACCCAACCCACTGCCCTGGAGTCATTCCGACTCCTAGGGACGCTGTAGGACAGTGTAGAACTGTCCCATAGAGCTGTATATCTTTACGGAAGATAACTGTCACATCGTTCCCCTGCGAGAGCAGCTAGTGTGTCCTGAACCGCTGACCTTTCAGTTTTCAGCCCAGCGCTTAACCACTACGTTATCAGGGCTCCTCGAGAAGTACCCAAACCAAAACCAAACTTGATTCCCACTTATAGCAACCCTATAGGACAGAGTAGAACTGCGCCATAGGGTTTCCAAGGCTTTAAATCTCTACGAAGCGGACTGCTATATCGTTCTACCCTAGAGCAGCTGGTGGGTTCTAACCTCTGACTTTTTGATTAGCAGCCGAGCGCTTTACCCACTGCGCTGCCAGGGCTCCTCTACAAACACCAAACTGAAAAAAACCAATTCCGCTGCGGTCGAGTCGATTCCAAGTCCTCCTAAAACCTAACTTAAAGGAGAGATCTGATTGGCTAAGACGTGATGACGCAGCGTACCTCAAGCCTATTGAAAATCTGCCTCCGCAAGCCTGGCTCAGATTCCGCTTCCCGATTGGTCCCTACGACAAGAGGGCAGGGACAGTTGCTGAAATTGACCTCTGGGCCCGGAACCCACGGCAAAAATGGCGGCGGCCAGGTGTTGGGGGCTCCTGCCTCGCATTCGGGGGCTCTCACTGCACACCGCGGCCAAGGTGGACGTCGTGGCTCCAGAGACGTCTGGCCCAGATGTCGCGTCGGCTCCCGTTGCGCGCTACCCGCCGATTGTGGCCTCCCTGACTGCCAAAAGCAAGGCGGCGCGGCAGCGGCGGATAGAGCGATGGCAGGCGGCGGTGCACGCGGCCGAGTCGGTGGATCAGAAATTGCGAATCCTGACGAAGATGCAGTTCATGAAGTACGTGGTTTACCCGCAGACCTTCGCCCGGAACGCCGACCGCTGGTACCAGGGTTTCACCAAGACCGTGTTCCTGTCGGGCCTGCCGTCGCCTCTGGTGGAGCCCGCGCCTGCGTTGGAACTGGCCTCCCTGCGCGCGGCCGCCTGTGACTGTCTCCTGCAGGAGCACTTCTACCTGCGGCGCAAGCGGCGCGCGCCCCTCTACCAGGACCGCGAGGCTATCGCTTCGCCCTTTCTGGACCAGCTGGTGGCCGCCCTGGTGGGCCTGCTCAGCCCGCACAACCCAGCCTTGGCAGCCGCGGCCATCGGTGAGTCCGGGGTCAGCCACACCTGGCGGGGAAGGTGGGGATTAAGAGGGAGCGGCTCCGCGGCCGTTGGCCCCATAGTCAAGTTTTCCTCTCAGCTTTGTCACTTTTTTCAGTCCTTTCGCTCCTACGCGGGAGCCAGCTTTAGTAGCAGTCACTGCGTTAGGATTTTGGAGATCGGATTCTGGTGCTTGCGCTGCCACCTACTAGTTGTACATCCCTGGACTAGTAGCCGAAGCTCACCAGGACTCCAGTCCTTGATTCTGTGACAGCCTAGCCAAATGGAAGAGCTGTGATGGTTAAGAGAAGGGGCTCTAAGAGAGTGGGGCAGATCTGGGATTGTCTTTTAACCTAATTTTTCGCATTTTAAAGACGGGGATTACGATAGTAGTATATTACCATAGAATTGTGAAGATTAAATGCAATATTAACTACAATACCAAACGTTTATTGAGTACTTAACTGTGTGCCAGGTTTCTGTATGCCAAATAATTTAATCCTCACAATAATTGTTCACAGTAGGTAGCATTGCTTTATAAATAAAAAATCTGAGGTGCAGAAACCTTAAATGCACGGAAGGCTTTATACCTGGTAGCTTTGGGGGCCAGGAATCAAACCCAGCCATTCTGGGTTCTCAGTAAACAATCAACAACTTCCATTAACTGTTCAGTGCAGACATGGAAAGTAGTTAACAGATGGACAGTTTTAAAAATCAACATTTCTGATTCGTTCATCGTTTTATATCTGCCACCCAGTAGGTAATTTAATAAATATTTATTGAATTAATGTTGGTATTACTATAGATGAGTGCTCAACTGAGGCTTGTCGTGTTCATGTTACTTCTCTCCCTCAGTTGGGAAGAAAATGGTCTTGAAGAAAACATGGGCTCTTGACTAGTCAATGAGTTACTAGATTGGTGGCCTGAGAAACCTTCCTTTACCTTGTCTGATCCTGGTTCTGCTTGTATAAGATGGACATGATGACAGCAATACTTAACTTTTGAGAATTATTGTGGAAATTGAATTAATAATTCATAGGATAGTTCTGACTCGTTACTACTTTTGTTTCTGGTGGCTGGTATTCCTGTTGGCCTTATTTTCTTTATGTTTCTTTTTGATTGAGAAAACTTTTAGGTTATTGTTCAGCATAGGATTGGCACACATATTTAAGTTGTGATAGTTTAAGTTAAATTACCACATGAATCAGACTAGATATCATACATCAAAGAGTAATTTTTTTTTTTTTTAATTAGACACAATCATTCTAAAGTTCTGTATTATTAAGTTAGTGTTCTTTAGTGTGCTAATGGTAGCCAATTTTATCTAAATGATCAAATGAAAAATGTTTTAATATCTTTTGGTAGATTGTAAGCGCCCAGTTCACTTTTACTGGATGCGTGGTGAAGAAATTATTCCAAGTGGTCATCGGAAAGGTCGAGTTGATGCTTTGCGATACCAGATAGATGATAAACCACACAACCAGATTCGAATATCCAAGCAGCTTACGGAGGTAAGGATTTGTATGTATGTATATAACTACTGACACATGATGTAGAAAATATCATCGGAGGACTAGATAATGAGCATGGTAGGATAAAAAAATTTGGATGGATCCTTGCTTTCAGGGTTCTTTCAGATGTCTGAAATTTTCTTTTAGCTTTTTAATCTTCTATGATATATTCTGCAGAGGTCAACTATTCATATTAACTGGGATGAAGTCATCCGTTTTCAGGACAATACACATCTTTATCTTAATGTAAAAACTTTAGTAATAGTTTATGATTGTATCTTAAAGTGGACGACATGGAAGCAGCAGTCAAGAAATCAAAGGACGTATTGCATTGGGTAAATCTACTGTAAAAGATCTTTAAAATCTTAAAACAAAGATGTCACTTTAATGACAAAGGTGCACCTGACCCAAGCCATGGTCTTTTCAGTCACCTCCTATGCATGTGAAAGCTGGGCAATGAAAAAGGAAGACTGAAGAAGAATTGACACATTAGAATTATGGTGTTAGAGAACAGTGTTGAATATACTGTGGACTGCCAGAAGAGCAAACTATTATTTCATTTAGAGAAAATGAAGGAAACCCTCCATGTGATGGATTGGCATAATAGCTGCAACAATGGACTGAAACATACCAAAGATTGTGAGGATGGCACAGGTCCAGGCAACGTTTCCTTCTGTCCGCTCTGGGGGAAGGTCCTTGACTCTTTTCAGCTTCTATTCTTAAGTTCTTGGTGATCATGTGGTGTGTAATTTCTCCTTCTTTGTGCTTGTTTAGTTGCTTGCTGAATCTACTCTTTAATATCTCAAAAGAGATTGATTTAAGACACACCTTACACTCATACTTGCCTCATTAATATAACAAAGAAAGTCTGTTCTCAATTGGGATTATAACCAGTCTGCTTCCATGAAGATTTCAGCCTTGCAAACCCTATGAAGCAGTTCTGCTCTGTCCTGTAGGGCCGCTGTAAGTTGGAATCATTGGGTTTGTTTTTTTTGGGGGGAGGGGGGGCATAGTTCAATCCATAACAGTTGCCATGAATCAGAACTGACTCAATAGCAACGAATAACAACAACACTAGGTAGTAATAAATCAGAGCATTTTGCAGTTATGAGGTAGGTCCTTTTAAGTATTTGGAGTTCTGGAGAACAGCTAGCATATTTTGAGTGTTGTCTGTAATGTCAGGGGTCAACACACTTTTTCTTTAAAAGATCCCAAAATACCAATCCAACTCATTGCCGTCAAGTCAATTCCAACTCATAGCAACTCTATAGGACAGAGTAGAGCTACTGCATAGTGTTTTCCAAGGCTGAAATCTTGATGAAAGCAGACTGCACATCTTTCTTCTCCTGAGCACCTGGTGGGTTTGAACTACCGATCTTTTGGTTAGCAGCCACACGCTTAACCACTGTGCCAGCAGGGCTTCTTTTAAAAGATCCAGTTAGTAAATATTTTAGGTTCCACAAGCCATAGGTTCTCTGTTGCAGCTACTCAGCTCTGCCGTTACAATGTAAAGGCTGCCATACACAATATGTAAACAAATGTGTTTCAGTAAAACTAATTTGTAAAAACAGGTGACTGGCTAGATTTGGGCCATTTGGTCTATTTTTAGACAAGGTGTTACCAAATCATTTCATAAAAACATTTAATATTTTAAAAACTCTAATAAGAATATGAATAAAATGCATACTGATACTGCTGTGAATTTAGTGTGTCTTTTCTTCTTTTTTAAGTTTGTACCACTGGATTATTCTGTTCCTATAGAAATCCCTGTTATGAATTGTAAGCCAGACAAACTTCCGTTATTCAAACGGCAATACGAGAACACCATATTTATTGGTAAGTTTCTCTTGACCTTTTATGCCATAAATGTGTTCAAAGTGTCCCATGTGTATTTAGATCATTAGCTACAGTGAAAAATTAACTCATGATGATTAAGAGGTTCAGACAGTTAGCAAACAGTGTAATTCATAACCTCATAATCTTGTGCACGAAAATTGGGAAGAGAATATTTTTTCAGTTCACCTTTTAAATTTTACTTAATTCTACTGAATAAGCAGTATTTTTTCATTGTTATGAAAATACACTAAAACATTTGCCAGCTTAACAATTTCTACATGTAAAATTCAGTGACATTGATTACATTCTTCATATTGTGCAACCATTATCACTATCCTTTTCCAAGTTATCCTACCACCATTAACATTAACTCAATGCCCCTAAGCAAAAACTCCCTGTTTTCCCCTCCTTCCCACCCAGTAATCTTTCTTTTCTTTATGTTTGTGAATAAGCAGTATTTAATTTTAGTTGTTCTTATTGGGCTTTGTTCATTTATTAGCTAGAATAACAAGTTTTGGACTGTACTTGAGACAGTGATTAGTTTTTTTTGGTTTTTTTGCAGAAGTCTCTTGTTTGTATTTAATCATTACAATTAAAATAATAAGGGAGGTTTTAAAAGTCATCAGGTATTTGTATCCTCTGGTGAATATGATGAGACAAGTAACAAAGCCCCCAATGATGACTGAAGGATTGGAGATAATTTAAATCATAGTTTTTATACATAGTTTTATGACTTATCCTCTGTCATAATGAGCTTGGTGATAGCTAGCGGATTGAGAGATTGTAGTTTCATGTGAAGTTTGTCTTCATTATAATCAATAAGAAAACCAACCATTCCAATTTGTGTGTTTTGAATACTGAGTACCTGATGTGTAAAGAAGAAAGATGGGTTTGAAGCTAATACTAAAGACATGTTCTACATGTGCATTTCACGTGAAATGTTTTTATTTCATTCTTTAGGCTCAAAAACAGCAGATCCATACTGTTATGGTCACACCCAGTTTCATTTGTTACCTGACAAGTTAAAAAGGGAAAGGCTTTTGAAACAGAACTGTGCCGATCAGATAGAAGTTGTTTTTCGAGCTAATGCTATTGCAAGCCTTTTCGCTTGGACTGGAGCACAAGCTATGTATCAAGGTAAAACTAGTTGTATGGTATTGCTGTTCTCGGAAGATATCCCTGGCATTTTAAGAATTTAATAGTTCAAATCATTTTCTTTGGGTTAAAATGTAGGTTGAATCACTTTGAGAAGTTTTGCATTGGCACAGAATACAGTGTTTTAAAAACCATAGTGAAATGTTTTGCATTTAAAATTGGCAAGTGCACTTAGGTAGTTACTTTGATCACCTCTGTGTGAATGTATTTTTTTCTGATCAGTTCCTCAAGTATGTCAGCAACCCTGTGGTCAAGTAAGTCAGCTCTTTGGAGATGACAACAGCTTCTTAAAGACATTTCTGAAGCTAGAAAAGGAAATGGTATAATAGAATATATTGTTAGAATTCATCAAGGCCATCCAGTATAATTTCTTTAAAGGTCACATCCAAGATGTGAATTAGGAGAGCATTCATTCATTCTGTAAACATTGATTGCCAGGCACTGTTAGCCCTGGAGATACAGTATTGAACAAGTCAGACAGATCCAGATCCTGCCCTGCTGGAGCTTATATCACAGTGGAGAAAGTGGAAGATAATAAACATGTAATATTTTTGGTTAGTGGTAATATTATGAAGAAAATATATTCAGAGTAAAGGGTGGAGTGGTTTATGGAATGAGTATATGAATGAGGTGTGGGGCAGAATCTGTTTAGAGTAATTCAGGAGATGTCTCTAAAAAATGACATTTGTACAGAGATCTGTATGGTCAGGAGGTAGCTATGCACAAATCTGAAGGAAGACACTTTTAGGCAAAAGGAACAGCAAGTAAGTGTCTGAGGTAGGAACAGGCTTGAAGTATTTAAGGAACAGTATGAAGGTTAATGAGGTAAGTGAGGGGGAGATCAATGGGAGGTGGTATAAAGGAAGCCACAGGCCAGATCACATAGGACTCCAGAGCCCATTGTGAGACATCTGAATTTTGTTTCAAAACTTAAAGTAATATAATGTACTACTAGATTAATCCTATATAAACACCCAGGAGGAATTTTAATACAGATTTAATTATTGCTAGGTTCACCTTTTTTCTTTATATATTTTATTAATCTTTAATTCAAAAATTGTTGGCTTACATTTCTGTAATAGAAATGAATGGAGAGAGTGAAAATAGGAATAGATAGAATCAGAGAAAGTAAGAGGAAACTTCTTTGAAGATATTAGAATGACACTTTTTTCTTGAAAGAAAAAGCACCTCTTTTTATGATAGAATAAATTCCATGTTTTAGCAATATTATTCATTGGTTATTTCCATTAAGACTGATATAAAATACGTACGGAGAAAGTTACTGCTTGATTGTGGTAGTTGGAGTTAAGTGTATTGAAGCCAGTCATCCTGCAACAGGAAGTACCTAGAAGATTTACATAGTGAAGTAAAGGTTCCTAAAGTTTATCAGATAGACATGCCAGGCAGTGACGACGGTTCATCAAACCAATTTTGAAATGTGGAACGAAGACACTGAGTTTGTCTAAGGACACTAGTGAAACCCTTAGAATGACAATTTTTCGGAAGGTGTTTTGTGTATGTGCGTGTGTTGATTTGATGAAGTAAATAGGCTTGATGATTATTAGGTGGAAAACATGACTCCATGTATTTCAGAGTAGAACTAACTCCATAGAGTTTTAAATGGCTATAATTTTACAGAAGGAGTCCTTGGGTGATACAGTGTTTAAGCACTGGACTGCTAACCAAAAGATTGGTGGTTCAAACCCACCCAGAGGCACCTTCTGACGATCTGCTTCTAAAAGGTTACAGCCTTGAAAACCCTGCAGAGCAGTTCTACTTGGCCATGAGTCAGAATTGACTCGGCAGCGACTAACCACAACAATCTTAAAGATGTAAATTGTTGCTAGGCCTGCCTTCTGTGGCACCAATGAGTGGATTCAAACCACCAACCTTTTGGTTAGTAGTTTGAGTACAAACTGCTTGTGCCACCCATGGATCTTTGGGGATACTAGAAGGTAGGAAGTAATTTTTAATGCAAAAATGGAATATAGGGTTAGAATGGAGAATAGAAAACTTTGAGATCTTCAGGAATTTGGCAGGTAAAATATCAAGGTTTTAGGATATATTTGATACGTTCTAATGTGTTAGATTTTGTTTGTTTTGCTAAAATATATTTGTAAATTTCAGCATAACTTTCTTCTACAGGATTCTGGAGTGAAGCAGATGTTACCCGGCCTTTTGTCTCCCAGGGCGTGATCACAGATGGAAAATACTTTTCCTTTTTCTGTTACCAGTTAAATACTTTGGCATTGACTGCACAAGCTGATCAGAATAACCCTCGTAAAAATATATGTTGGGGGACACACAGTAAGCCTCTTTATGAAACAATCGAAGATAATGAGGTAAAAGGTTTTAATGATGATGTTCTACTTCAGTTAGTTCATTTTCTACTGAGTAGACCAAAAGAGAACAACAAATCACAACTGTTGGAAAGCTAACAGAACATTTTGTTCAGGACTTTGGGGTTACTTAAATTTCACTAAAGTAACAATAAAAGGAATTTTAATAATGAGACTTGTAATGGTTAGATATTAACTGCATTAATTTTTTTCCTTTTTTTATTGTGGTAGATTTTACATATGTAACAAAGCATTTGACATCTCAACATTCTTTACATGTACAATTTAGTGACATTAATTGTATTCATCATGTTGTACAACCATCACCATTATCCTCTTCCATTTTTTTCCATCACTTTTAACATAAGCATTGATTCCCTTTTTCCTTTATTTTTCCCAGCTGCCTCTGGTAAACGCTAATAACCTTAGGTCTGTATACATTTGCCTGTTCTAGATATTTCATGTAAGTGCAACAACTATTTTATACATTAATATATGATTGAACTTCTCATTCTGCTCAAAATATGTCACTAAAAGATTTATTTTTACACATAGTATGTTGTTTAAAAATAACTTTATTTATGCGTGGCCAGTTGATGAGACTAATTGAGGTATTTTCAATACCTTGGCATTAATAGAGTTGGATTTTAAAAGTAATGTAAGGACAATACTTTAGATGTTGATCTTTTGTTGTTAATAACGCAGTATAGAGTTTCAGAGTCCTACCCAAACCCCTTCAAAACATGAACGATACTTTGCCCATAAAGCAGACTGAGGCCCAGGGGCATTAAGTGACACGTTGAAGATCCCACAGATGATTAATAGTAAAAGCAAAAAAACTCGTTGTTGTCAAGTCAATTCCGATTCATAGCAGCCCTTTTGGACAGAGTAGAACTGCCCCATATGGTTTCCAAGGCTATAATCTTTACGGAAGCAGACTGCCACATCTTTCTGCCACTGAGCGGCCGGTGGGTTCGAACCACCGACCTTTTGATTAGCAGCTGAGCACTTAACGACTGTGTCACCCCAGGGCTCCTTGATTAATAATAGAACTGGTAAATTATATTCAGCTTAGCTTCTTAGCACCTTTTAGAAGTAATGTTAACATATTTCAATCAGTGTCATTTGCTGTACCCCAAAGATTAGAAAACTAGCTTTAATATATTTGAAAATCAGTTGTCAGTAAAATTGTTAATCTTGTTGAGAATTAAGGTTCATTCAAATAATTTTTAGTGGGGACAAAGAATTGCTTTTCTAAGATCATCCTTGCACATTTTATATAACCTATTGTGAATATATAAAATATCCTATTTACTTTAGTCATATGACTAATTGCTCTATTTACTTTTCTTTTTCCTTAATAAGGAAGGCAAAGGCCATAGTTATATTGATAGATGCTTCAGGCTAGAAGCCTAGGGATTATTTATGACACATGATTGCTAAACTGAAGGACTATCAATTAAAAGAAGTAATGCATACTTTACAAGGCATTATGTAAGTGTTTCATCTCTAGCTCTCTCAATTTACCCAGAATGCCATGTAATTTACCTAGAATGCCATGTAATTTTACGCCACCATTCTTTTATTTAAACAGTGTCCTAAACTTGGAATTCTGTTCTTTTTTTTTTAACTGTTAGTCCTGTCCCAACCTGGGTACTGCTATTCCATTCATCCTTTATGGGAAAATGCAGATGTATAGAGAGCACCTGTACTAAACTCCAAGTAAAATGAGATCTCTTAATCTTATCTCTTGCTTTCTAACTCAGTGAATTTGAGTTGTCCTCAATTTCCTGCTTCTGTAAAACAATAATCTCAACAAATTGTAAGGTTAAATGAGCACGTGAAAGTGCTCTTAAAATACTAATTAAAATAATGTTGGGATTCAGTTGAAATGTCATTTCTTTCCTAAGCTTTCCCTGATTATATTTATTTCCTATTTAATTGTCAAACGGTCAGCAGTTTGAATCCACCAGCTCCTTGGATACCCTACTGGGCAGTTCTACTCTGTCCTATAGTTTTGCTACGAGTCGGAATCGACTTGACGGTAATGGGTTTGTTTTTTTTTAAAAAATTCTTATTTTATCGTATTACTTGTTTCATTCCCTTGTAACAGTTTTTCTTATTTTCAAATGTTGAGGAAAACACACCTCACACATATATCCATATATATTGGGATGTCATATAGCACTTATATGCTAGGACCTGATATAAGTATTTTACACATATTAGCTAATTTAATCTTCATGACCGTTCCATAAATTAGGTACTGTTATTTCCATTTTGCAGATGAGGAAATGGCACAGACAGCCCAATAACATGTTGAAGGTCAAACAGGTTAGAAAGTAGCAGGGTTGGAATTTTAACCCAGGTCTGACTCCAGAGTCAACTTTTACTTTTCCAATAATGCAGTATATAGATTGTGGTCAGTGCTACAGTACAACACTGGTACGAGTTTAGATAAAAGGTAGGTTAATTCTGACCAACCAATATAAAACCTGTATCTTAGGGCAAGTGGCATTTGAACTGGTTCTTTTTTTAATTTCTTTTTTAATAATATTTTATTGTGTTTTTCGTGAAAGTCTACCCAGCAAGTTAGGTTCCCATTGGACAATTTCTATACAGATTGATCAGTGACATTAGTTACATTTTCCACATTGTGTTGACCTTCTCTTTAATTATGTTCTGTTTGTTCTATTTCCAGTACTCTAGTTTCCCTGCCCCCTTATCATCTCATCTTTGCTTTGGATTAAATGTTGACCTTTTGGACTCATACAGATTTTTTTTAGTAGCGCACTGATCTAACGGGTAATATCCTTTACTTTTGTGTGTCACTCTGCTTTTCTGCTAAAAAGGTGATCTCAGG